CACTGTCGAAGAACACCTCCTGTGGTGTGAGGGGGGATTACAAGGGAGAGGGACCGGGGGTGGTGTGAGGGGGGATTACAAGGGAGAGGGACCGGGGGTGGTGTGGGGGGGGGTTACAAGGGAGAGGGACCGGGGGAAGGGAAGGCGGAGGCGAGGGCGAGCGGCAGCCACACGCCCGTGAAGCCCAGCACCAGATTCTACGCCAAATCGCCTGTATGCGGAACACTGTATGCGGGGGGAGATGGGGGGAGCAAGGAGGGGGGGTGGAAACGCGGGGTGGGCGAGGGTGAGCGGCAGCCACACGCCCGTGAAGCCCAGCACCTGATTCTACGCCAAATCGCCTGTATGCGGACCACTGTCAAAGAACACCTCCTGTGGTGTGAGGGGAGGATGGGGGGAAGCAAGGAGGGGGGTTGGGAACGGGGAGAGGGCGAGGGTGAGTGGCAGCCACACGCCCGTGCATAGGACCAGGTTCAGCGCCGAATTGTCTGTGGACCACTGTCGAAGAACACTTCCTGTGGTGTGGGAAGCCCGAGGGGGGAAACTGGAGTAGGGAAGACGGAGGCGAGGGTTAGAGGAAGGACAAGGAGGGTGAGCATGTGCGGCCGTTGTCAAAGGCCATTTGATTTTTGGTGCAGGAAGAGGGTGAGAGAGCGAGAACGGCGCGGCTTTGACAACAGAAAATGGCAACTTCCGTCAGCCATGGTGTTGTTACGCAGCGCATATGCCTCCTCCAATGACGGTGCTTGTCTTGTCTCCCTCTCCTCTTCGCCTCCCTCTCGCCCCTCTCGCCCCTCTCGCCTCGCTCGCCTCCCTGCCATGCAACCTCCCTTCGCTCCCCTTGCTCCCTTCGATCAAAGAGTCATTTCTCGTTCCGTTACCTTGAAAGCGAGGGTCAAGGGCCCTCTTTAGCCGCCTCGTCCACGTCACCGTCTTGCTGGTTCTACTCTTTGATAAAACTGCCAGATTTCCATTTGAGAATTGTGTCAATTCGCTTCCGTGAATTGCGATGCGGTTGTGTGCCATGCGACAGCGACGACCGTCGCGAAGACGAAGGACGGCAATGGCGACGTCTGCGACAATGACGTAGGATGTGAGAATGGGTGGAAGAGAATGCGCCACGTACCTCCGAGCTGGACGGCGACGAAGATGACGCGGCCACGGAGACATTCCGCGTGGACGCAGCTGCTGCTGACGTGGACGATTCTAGTCGAAGTGCAGACGAAGAGAGCTGTGACCTTCCCCCCGTGAATGTGGCTGACGTCACCGACTTGCGGCCAGGGAGCGGCGCGAAAGGCGCTGACGAGGCGCCATCTGCTCTCCGAGATGCAGAAGCGAGAGTCGCGGAGGCTGCGACGGCGGAGTGTTGAACAAGAAGAGAAGACATTTTTCACAAGAGTGTTTCCTGATAGAAGCTCTGAGGAAACTGGGAGACAGTAGTAACAGAAGGCCTCCGACACGCTGATTGAAGCCTAGTCTTGTGCACGTCCCAGCAGGATCTTCTGGAATACTGGTAACTTGGAAAGAACTAGGAGCCTCTGCAGAACATGATGGAATTCCCGAGGAAATGTTAGACTAGGTAGCTACCACTTTTGCCCAAGCGGGAGGTTTGGCTGGTTCGGCGTGGCGCGAGGTTCGTTCGAACGGTATTGATGACGTGGCAGATGCCGTATGGGAGGGTCCACGTAGTTGAGCTCGAAGCGAAGCTAATGGAGATCCGCCACGGTGGATGCAACGCGTGGAGCTTCGACAACCAAACCTGACATGACCCTTGTTTGTACCCGCCCTGTCATCGAAGCCCAAATGGTCCGACGAGGCAACTAGAGAAATTTCCGAAAGAGCTGACGTGGCAGGGTGAGCAAAGGGGGATTTTGAAGGGAGAGCAAAAAGCAGGTATTGAACCTGACGTGAATCGAACACGCAACCTTCTGATCTGGAGTCAGACGCGCTACCATTGCGCCACAGATCCGTGGTGACCTATTGAACATAGTTTTATTATCCATATACAAGCTGCTATGACGTCAAATCCGCGTCATGGCGAATTCGGTGGTTGGACTGCAGACGCAACCCTGCAGACGCAACACAAGCCTGCCAGCTCCGCGTTCCCTCTCAACGCATCCCCTCCCCATTCTTCTCGCGAAAGGCATAATATATGCTGGATGCTACGTATCCCTTCTTGATTGTCTTTACATTCTCAAATAATCCCTAACGAACAGACTCGCCTAGCAGGTCCAGTTACATCGCCACCTGACTCGTTGCATAGTATAGCAACTATCTTACCACAAACCTTCTGAGCAGGCAGCTCGCCGCCTGCGCCAACGATTTATGTCTCAGAACACGGATTGGCTGCATTCGAGCAGCTTCAGGATGCACACGGCGGCGCTCTCCCGAGTTGTTCCCTTGACAATCCCTGAAGACAGCCAGCTTCCTTCAGACGATGACTCATCAGATGTCCGAAGGGAGCCCGGTTCGGAATCCAGTGAAGACCGAGCCCCGAGTCAACGTCAAGGCAGACTGAATGATTCCGACCATGGGTCTTTGTCGAATATGTTCGGTCGTGTTCCACTCACTAGGTGCCTGGCCATGCGTCGAGGCGCGTATGATAACTGGGTCGTTCGCACGATCGTTACGCCAGATGGGGTGAAAGAGGTGTTTGGCCCGCCATAGCCGTCAGCCTTCCACGATGATTTTTTAGGTAGTTCACCTTTAGGCTACTCTTTTATCTAGCCAACGCAGTCTCGGTTTATTACGCTTTAGAAATTAGTTCGATGTGTAGGTGGGTTCGTGTGATTTACTGCCAAGTGTTTGTACGACCAATTAGTATTGAGATTTCTCGATCCCTCCACAACTACTCGCCGTGCCCTGGCCACTTATTACTCAATATATTTGGATTGCCTTACCAACCCGTTTCTCCCTCCACCCCCTCCATCCTTTCCTCTCCTCCTTCACACTTCAACCCCTTCCCCTTCCTCAAATCCCTTTCTCCCCTCTCTCCCCCTCCCCCCTCCCAACCCCCACCCACCCCCCCTCTCCCCCCTCCTCAAAACCCCCCTTTCCTGTCCTCTTCCTTCCCCCTTCGCCCAGCCCTGTTTCTTTGTGTCCCTTTCCCACTCCTGTAACTCCCCCTCCTCCCCCTCCCCTCACTCTCTTAGCTCACCCCATCTCCTTCTGCTTGTGCTACCGGTACTAATCTAGTGGTACCATACACCATACATTAAAATTGTTTGTGTATTTACACCACTGTGCTAACGTGGGTGGGTGGGCTTGGTGCAAGCTTGTTGGCTATGCACGCTGCTGTGTTGAAGTTCTCGTTGCATCAGAGTGGTCAAAATCTTGAAAGGGGCTGGTCGAGACTTGAATTGCCCAAGTCGGGAGGCAAACTCATGACAGTTTGTCTCTCCCAGGCACTTGGGACTACGAAATGTATTTCTTTTCCTCTAATTTGTTGTATTTTACACTAGAAAATGTTTGGGTTTTCCAAATCTGAATTTCCTGCGTTGACTTAGTTGTGTATTTTATGACTTGTAGAATGTGTTGAACACAGTAAAGCGAAGCTCGCCGGACCAGATTCATGCCGTTGTGGCTTCTCACCGAACGTCGTTGAGTTGACAAGCCTGTCGCTGCACTTCCACAGGTTTGGAGCCAGTCGCTGCACTTTCAGCGAAAAGTTGCTGCTGATGCGGACATCGTGGGAGCCCGCGTCAGCATTGCCTTATCCAGCAAGCCTTTTCGGCCTCCTCTGCTTCCCGGCGAAGGTTCACGAACAATCGCGAGTGTTCGCACCTCCTCCTGGACAACTGAATCTGAACCCAAACCTCATCGAAACTCCCCTGTCCAGGAATTCAGCCACAACGATGACATCTCGTTTTGACCCTAAGTCTGAAAACGCATTCTGTCCAGGGCGTGTTGCTTTTAGGTACTAGACCTGTGACCAATTCTGTGGTGCTAAGCTAATCGTTTGCTTAGTAATTCTAGAAGGTAACAGTCAACGCTTACAAATGGGCATGTCGTGTCATCAAGCTGAATGCGACTCAGAGCTGCCAACACCTCCAATAGAGAGACTCGGCCGTCACGAAGCCAGCTTCGGATTAGCCGAACCGAGTCTTTTAGACTCTGTTGCTCAACCTTGCCTCACCTCAACTTCAGGACTAGTGTGACGTGTCTGCTGCACCGTGTCCAGCTCCCAGCTCCCTTTCGCGTACATAGGCTTCCTTGCACGAGAAATAGCCAGTTTTTTACTCCACTTCCCCCTTGTTTCTCGTGGTTGTCAGCTCCCGTCGTTGCTATGCTCGTCTGAGCTCTGAGATCCTAGCGTCTTCTTCTCAGTGCCACTGCTATAGCGCTTCGGGATCGAGTTCTGCACTGATCTGTGTTCTCGCCTGTTACGCTGCGAAAGCACTCTGCACAGGATTGGATAGCATGGCAGCTTTGAAAGCACTTGCCCGTTTCACGACTCGTTTCGCCGCACCGTCGATCGCGGCGAGTCGCGTGCGACAAAATACGACTGTTTCCAGTATCTCGAGCGTAGCGTTAAGAGTCGAGCGACCGCTTCATGCCTCGCGAACGGTGCGGCGCGTCGCGCGACGAAGCTTCCCCGCGCGAACCTTCTGCAGGTTCGTCTTCCAAAGCTTAGCAAGCGATTGTGCTGAGAGAAAATAAGTGATAGAAAACAAAATCAGGACCACATGCTCTGATAAGGATTCGTGTGCAGAAAGAATATACTATTGCACGAAAAGGCGATAGAAACACACATGTCGGCAACACGGACACGCCGGTATGCTTTCAAACCTTTCGACTCGTAAGAATTAATCGACTGTAGAACTTGAGAGGAAATTTTAAATCCTGTCTCGCTTGAAGCACCAATCTTCCAATTGGTTTCCCCCTCTTCCCATTGGTTTCCCTCTCTTCCCATTGGCTTCCCCCTCTTCCCTTCCCCTCCTTCCGCAAATCGCGGCAGCGTGGCGAACGAGCAGGCGGAGGCGGAGAAGGCGGCGGAGGACATGCTGTCGGACCTGGAGCCCGACAACCGCGCGCCGGTCACCATCATCACCGGCTTCCTCGGCTCCGGCAAGGTGCGTTTTGAGGCGCCTCAATACTATAGGGGGGGGAAGAGGGGGGGGGAGGGGGGGGGGGGGGGAGAGGGGAAGTGGGGAGGGTGCGGGAGGGGGGTCATGCTGTCGGACCTCGAGCCCGATAACCGCGCACCGGTCACCATTATCACCGGCTTCCTCGGCTCCGGCAAGATGCGATGCGAGTGACCCACCTTATTCCATCCCACGCTACCCCACCCGACCCCACCCCACCCCATCTGCTTACGTCTTCCTCGTTTTTTTGGCAGCTTCCGTCTATGCACGATTCATTCTGCTGTGATAACCTATTTTTTTCAATGTTTACTACTATTTTGCGTTTGTGTCCCGTGGATTGGCCTCAGACGACGCTGCTGAACTACATCCTCAAGGCGGACCACGGCAAGCGGATCGCCGTCATTGAAAACGAGGTAAGCAAAAGATATTCCATAAAACAACAACAACAACAAAACAAAACAAACAACGAGAAGAAAATTTCAGTAGGTACGCGGGTTTTACTAGTCTCTAAGGACGAGGTGAGCGAGAGAAACATTTCGTCGAAATGCTTCCATCCGTGGGGCTTTCCGGGCCCATTTCGCCTTCTCGTTCCTCAATCCCTGTCATCTTCGGAATTCCTTCCCCGCCCTCCCCATTTCCTGTGCCTGCGCAGTTCGGCGAGGTGGACATCGACGGATCGCTCGTGGCGGACGCGCTGGCGGGGTCGGAGGACGTGGTGGTGCTCAACAACGGGTGCCTGTGCTGCACCGTGCGGGGGGATCTAGTGCGCATGCTCAGCGATCTCATCACCACCAAGCGGGACAAGTTCGACCACATTGTCATTGAAACCACAGGTAGGGCGGTCAACTGGGTGGGCGAGCATGTGGTGGTGAGCGCTGGGGGGGTCGGAGGACGTGGTGGTGGGAGTGAATGAGGTGGGCGTTAGTGGGTGTTGAGGTGTGGGTGAGGGAGAGGGGTCGGAGGACGTGGTGGTGCTCAACAACGGATGCCTGTGCTGCACCGTTAGAGGCGATCTCGTTAGGATGCTGAGCGATCTGATCACGACTAAGAGAGACAAGTTCGACCACATTGTGATTGAAACCACAGGTGAGGGATGGAGGGAGGTGTGGAGTGAGTGTGATGTGAAGCTATGGATGGGATGGGAGTGAGGGGTCGGAGGTGGTGCTGATCAACGGGTGCCTGTGATCTAATCACGAGCTTGGTCACATCTTTGAAACCACAGGTGTGTGAGTGAGGAAGCGAGTAGGGAGTGAGCAAGTGAGTGAGGTGGTGATGGAGTGAGTGAGAGGAAGCCATTATGGCTTCCCTCTCCCTCCGTCTCTTATTGGAGGAACCTGGAAACCTCATCCTGCGTTCTCTGTTCTCCCTTTCTCCCCCACTGTGTCCCATTCTCCTCTTCGTCCCCCCAGGTTTGGCGAACCCAGCGCCCATAATTCAGACGTTCTTCCTGGAAGAGGAGCTCGCAGAGGGGCTACGGCTGGATGGACGGAGTGGGTTTTGATGCCCCAAACCCCATTCTCCCTCTCTCTCTCTCCCTCGCCTCCCCAGGACTGGCGAACCCAGCGCCCATCATTCAGACGTTCTTTTTAGAAGAGGAGCTGGCAGAGGTGCTGAGGCTGGACGGAGTGGTGACGCTGGTGGACGCCAAGCACGTCACCCGGCACCTGGACGCGCCTTCTCTCGCACTCTCCCCTGTTTTTGTGACATTTCCAACCCCAGTCTCCCTCCCATGTCCCTGTTTCTTCTGTTTTCTGTTCTTTTCTTCCTTCCTTCCTTCCTTCCTTCCTTCCCCTCTCTCGCTTTCCACTTGCCTTCCCAGGTCTGGCGAACCCAGCGCCCATAATTCAGACGTTCTTCTTAGAAGAGGAGCTGGCGGAGGGGCTGCGGCTGGACGGAGTGGTGACGCTGGTGGATGCCAAGCACGTCACCCGCCACCTGGATGCGGCTGAGAAGGCTGCAGCAGAGGGGTCAACGGAGGTCAACGAGGCCGTGGAGCAGGTTGCCTTTGCTGACCGTCTTATTGTCAACAAGGTGAGCTGAAAAACAAACAAACAGACAAGAGGCATGGGTGGCTCATTGTGAACGAGGTGAGTCGTTGAAGAAATGGAACCCCCCATCACTTTCCCATAACCCTCCTTCCACTTCTCCTCTTCATCGCATGAACCCGTCTCCATGTGCAAGTGCAACTAATACAACAAATCGTTGGATATCTGTAAGATCTGATATGATTTGATTCGGTGCACTGTGTGTTGCAGGTGGACCTTGTGTCGGACAGCGAACTGAAAGATCTCGTCGAGAGGCTTCAGGTATGTTGACTGAATTCTCTGAGCTTCAGACCCAATGCCCGTCGTGTCTCCATTTTTATTTTGGTTAAGTCGCACAGTCTGATCGCGTGTTGGGTGGAGAATCAGGAGTTTTTCTGACCTAGTATAATGCCGTATGGGTGAATGGTGGGTGGCAGGATATCAACTCCATGGCGCGCATGAGCAAGGCGTCGTACGGCAAGGTGGATCTGGAGTATGTGCTCGGCATTGGAGGGTTCGACCTCGAGAGGTGCGTCTCTAGTTAGTCGACTCACAATGAGGTGCTTTTTGAGTCAAGGAACAACGAGGTCATAATCCACTCCATAAGGCACAGCATCGGGTGGCCCAAGGTGGACCTGGAATATGTGCTCGGCATTGGGGGCTTCGACCTTGAGAGGTGCGTCTCCGTGTAGTTGATATGAAACCACTTCAAACCAGGTGACCTTTTGAGTCAGCTTGAAAGGTGTGGCGTCATACGGCAAGGTGGATCTGGAGTATGTGCTTGGCATTGGTGGCTTCGACCTCGAGAGGTATGTTGCTATGAGGCGGCTTTAGTCGACAAGGTGACTCTTGAGTCGACTCAAAACGAGGTGGTCTTTTGAGTCAGCTCGCATGAGCAAGGCGTTGTACGGCAAGATGGGCCTGGACTATGTGCTTGACATTGGGGCTCCGGCGTTGTTGGTGTGTTAGATGTCGAAACATCTCACGTGAGATTCATACTGCAACGCTCCACTGGAAACCCCCAGCTCGAATATTGTTATCGATTCTGTATGGTCGTCCCATTCTGTATGGTCGTCCCGTCCCTTTTTTTTATTGTCTTTTTTCTTTTGCAGGATTGAGAGGGACGTGCAACCTCACATTCTGAATGAGGGAGCAGCCCATGACCACCACCACCACCACGAGCACGATCACGATCATGACCATGAGCATGAGAACTGTGGGACATGCGGTGGGGATCACTCCACGGAGGAGCATGGGCACGACCACCACCACCACCACCATGACCATGACCACGGCCACAGCCACTGTAAGTGTGTCAGATTTATGCATATATTAAGCTCCTTGTTAGCAATTTTTATTCTGGAGCTATAGAGGAAGATTTATTGTATGTATCGGTTGGAGAAAGCGCGGTGAGATGACCGTGTCTGTGCTTTCGAGACGTCCCAAAACAATGTCTGTGCTTTCCTGCTATGTACATTCCTCCTTGCCTCCTTGCCTCCTTGCCTACGGACAGTTGCAACCTTGCAGAGGATTTGATGTTATGCCTCTCATTGGCTTGCCCTCCCTGTATTTCTGTTGTTTCCAGCCCATGCGAAGCATGCAACAGGCGTTTCATCAGTCAGCATACAGTGTGAAGGCAACCTTGACCTGGAGAAGGTAGGCTGCACATTATCTTGTCCTCCATTGCCTTTTTTTTTGGGTCGCTTTCTCAATTTCTTAGTCTTTCACCAAGCCATTGTATTCCAGCCTGTGGTGTTTAAGACATATTTGCCTTTCACCTGTTTTTGGAAAGATATGGCTCTGTTCTGGATTCGCCATTGTGCACCATTCTGTCCGTCCGACCCGCCTTTGCAATCCAGATTAACGACTGGTTGGGAGATCTGCTTGCTGAGAAGAGTGACGACATCTATCGCATGAAGGGTGTCTTGTCCATTCACAAGTGTCGGGAACGATTCGTCTTCCAGGCAAGTCTGCCATACGCTTCATTTGCCAACCGTCTCCAACATAGGGCATCGTTACCTTAACGTTTACCTGAACAATGCTTGTTCTGCATTTTCATTTTCTTGCAGGGTGTGCATGCTCTTTTCGAGGGTTCTCCTGACAAGCCATGGGGTCCGGATGAGAAGCGCTCCAACAAAATCGTCTTTATTGGCCGCAACCTGAATGAGGGAGAACTTAATGAAGGGTTCAGGAGCTGCCTTCAAGCTTAGAGGAGTAGCTACGTGCTGGTGCTGCTTTGTACCCACACATGTAGTTTTGCCTTGAAACACCTCACTTTACTACAGTAGCAGAGGGTGTAACCATTCAAACAATTAACCGATGATTCCTCTTTCTGATCAAAGCTGCAACATCATTGTCACATCCAGCTTTGAAAGCACGGGTTGTGTGGGCAGATTGCTCCCTGCCTGAGCATATGTACAGCGTTTTGCTTGCACCACTACTATATCCCTACCGGTATTTCTATCCATGGAGTCTAGGATCAGTGAAGAATGGTGGTAGTAATCTGAATGGCAGTAACAAGCACACATCATCTTGGCTAACCCCAACCCAAAGGTGCCTAAAAGAGACCAGCTTCTTGTTGAAGATGCCTACAAACTTGGAGCAGGGTAATAACTGCAGCAAACAGCTGAGCCATGTTATTTTGGCATGGTTGACACTGGCGATAAAATTGACGAACATGTTTTCACATTGTTTTGTCAGATGAGAGAAGGGTATTGTTTTGCCTGCTCCCTCACCCTCTTTTTATACTCCACAGTGTCCTGAAAGAGAATCAACCAGCACAATCAGATCAGGTGTCAAAGGCAGCTATGCAGATCATGCAAACACGGGGCATAGTTCAAGAAACCAACGAACCTGAGTGAAGAGCTGGTATGCATCCGTTTGAGCTGGATCGGCAGGGTTTGGCTGGTCAAGCAACTCTTGAATACCAACAAGAATTTGCTTCACAGAAATAGCTGGTCTCCAGCCCTGAAGACGGAGAACAGAAATTCAAAGGGGACGAAAGAATGAATAAGAGAAATAGAAAGAGGCCAGGAGCTGGGGAGGGGAGAAAGGGAAAGAGGAGAAGAGGAGAAGGAAAAAAACGTTTGCTCAGACACAAGCGGCGCTGAAACGAGAAGCAGCATGCGACTGCAAGAGATACTGACATAGTCTTCGTTGAGAATGCTGAGGCACACCGTGCCTGACGGATAGACGTTCGGATGGAAAAAGCCTGGAGGGAACTTGCACTTTGGCGGCTTCGATGGATAGTCTTCCGTAAAGTGTATCGTCAGCGGATAATGGCCACCATCCCAGTCCGTCTGCGATAGAGCGAGTGTTAAATCGAAATGAAGGGAGGAAAACAGATACAGAAAGAGCTATTCGATAGCTACTCACGTCCTTCTTTCCAGGTATAACGCATTTCCATGTCATCATGTCTGTCGAGCCGTCATCTTTTGCCTCTGGTCTGGCGACAAATCCCTGCACGGCGTGACAATAGTCCACGTGTCATCCTACGTAAACGCTCAAGACCGCAGCTTGCGAGCATCAAGTAACCCACGACTCACGTGCGGATGGTTCTTCCGCCAAGCTTTTCGTTCTTCCGTCAGCCTACCCAAAGAGATCCCCGTCATGGAGTCGAAGTACAGCAAATAGAATTCTGGCCAGCGAGTATCAAAATAAGGCGGTCGCTGAACGTCGAACAGTTCCTAGTAGCACACTATTTAGAGCAGCGCTGACAGATTCTAGACAAGACGGGACTAGAGCTTTCTGTTGGTCGCAGCGATCCAGAGAGGTCTGACACCTTGAGAACTGAAGCGGGAAGAAAACGAACCTGGCTCAATACACGCAGCCCACTTCTTTGCTGGCCCGATAAGGATTAACGAAAGGAACACGGCTTCAAAATATGATCACAATTCTTATCATCGTTTATCAAACAAGATTGCTCATCACAAGTATCATGAACTTCAGGCCTTGGTGCCAAACACGACTGATAAACAACAGAACTTATGATGGAATTCTCCAATTTTCTTTGAGGCAAAAATCGTACACTTTGAGCTTAGGCTCACTGGGTTGTCAGCAAATAACATTAACCTAGGGGCCGGAACAAGAAATTGCACAGATATTGCAATAACCAACCACACCCTTACTCGGCCACAGCACCACCATCAACGCAATCTGGAAATGTGACACATTTGTACACTTTACACTTCTGACAGAGCTTCATCCCCAGCTGCAAAGACCAAGAAGAGAAGTTCAGGGAACAGGAGAGAGGAAGCAAAACGGGACAAGCTGCCGGAAGGATGCCTCGCAGGTGCGAATTGTTGAAAACGAGGTGACTACGGAGTCTGACTCAAACCTCACTGTCTGTAAAAGTGGGCCAAGATGACCATTCGCAGTCTCGTACGGTACATACATGCATGCACATACACACACGTCCCCTCGTCTCCTGCAAACCCCTTCCTCCCCTTTACCCACCACACCAACCCCTCCAAACCACACACAGGCGCACAGACTCACGGCGTAGCAGCCAGGGCAGCGGCGGAAGAGGCGTTTATTGACCTTCACGTTGACCCTCTCCCCCTGGCACAACTCGCACTGCAGCCAGCCCTGGCCGCTGCAGTCCGGGCATGGAATAGTGGAGCTGGAGAGAACAGCCTGGCGACGGCAGGCGTTGGGAGTTACAAAGGGGGAGATAGAAAGGGCAAGAGAGGAAGAGGCGGGTTGTTGCTGGACACGTTGACCCTCTGACTGATCCCACCATGGCCTCTGTGCCCTCTGTCCCCACCACCCTTCACACTGCAACGAGCCTCTCGCTGCTGCAGGCAGCACAAGGAATGGAAGGGCTTTGGGGTGGAGACTAGGGGTGGGGAAGGGAGGGACATGTGAGCTGGAACAGACGTCTAGACAGGTCACAGTTATCATGCCAATGCCAGTCCTGCTGCACTGCTGATGTCAGCGATGTATCATTGGACTGGCATTAGAAGTGTATAATAAAACTTATCACATGAGGTATATAACGATTTGTGGTTCACAGGTAATGTGATACAAAATCGTCGTTATAGGTAGTTGTGAAGTATGAAGTGGGGTGTCGGACGGGGGAAATGAGAGCCTCTGGAGAGAATGGGCGGAAGAACGAGATCCGTGCCTCCGAGGTCGACGGCATCAACGGTGGCCGCGATGCAACAAACGCATCATACGGACGAACCATGAGGCGACAAATTGCAACAAATTGCAACAAATGGATCGCCGCGTCTGTACAGAATGCACGAACCTCCGAGCTCGATGATAACGACGACGACGACGCGGCGACTACGACGTTTCGCGTGGAAGAAGCAGCTGCTGACGTGGAAGGTTGTCGTCGGAGAGAGGAGGACGGGCGGCGTAACCTTCCTTCGAGGGTATCAGCAGTTGACGTAACGAACTTGCGACCAGAGAGCGGTTGGGACGGAAGTGCTGATGCGGATCGTTCAGCCCTTCTGTGTAAAGCAGCGCAATCTACGGCGGCTGTGACGGCGGAATGCGGAGCGAGAAGTGAGGTCATGGTTGACGAGGTACTTGTGTGAGAGAGTCAAGACTAAACGAGGGCGATGCGACCAAACGACCGCGAAGAGACTAAACGGTAGCGACGAGACTGGACGGAAACGACGAGACTGAGCGGGAGCTCGGGAACGATAGCGACGCCAGCCTCCAAGCCCACGCCGAGCCTCTTTTCCCGCCAAATCCACGTCCGCCCCACCTCGTACGCCAACCACTAACTAAACGCACGGCCTGCTGCTCGTGAATTAGCAAGAGCAAAGGTGGAGTGTTTTGGGTATTCTTTATTGAACACGAACTTGTAACATAAGGCAATAAATTTGAACGCTGTAGCAAAGAGCCTAGCTTATTTGATTTAGTCTCAAATCTCACAACGCGTACCCCTTCCGTTGTGCTCCCTTCGCCCCACCAACCCGACGTGTCCGTCGCCGCTGATTGGAGCTCCCATCTTACGAACGTAACGACGATCGATTGTGTCTGTCTGCTGCCTTCCGTACTGCTGGTTGCCGTACCATCCGCGTAGAGGGAGGGAAAGTGAGAAGTTGGGGTGGGTGAATGAGTGAGGGGGCTGTGAGAGAGTGAGGGAATGTTACTGGGATGGGATGGGAAATTTGGGTGACTACCGGGAGTGAGTGCGGCAGTCCAACTGGAAAAGGGAGTGTGTAGGTCTGTGTGTGTGCGTGTGTCTGTGTGTGGATGTGTGTGTTTGTGTTTGTCTTATTGTCGGCGTGAGTGTGGAGCAGAGTGTTGCCTGCCATTTGTAGTAACCAACCAAGCTCCACTCCGCTCTGCACGGCCGCACTGAGTGAGACCTCGCAATTACCTTCTTAGGGCACAACTTGCTTAGTAACTCGGCGAACCGTACATATATTTTAGGTTACGGACGGCAGCCGGATAACATACGCGAAATGGAGCTTTTACGTGGGTGCTGGAGGATAGTGAGAACTAAATACGTCCTTTCATGACGTTATAGATAAGTAAGGATTGAGGATTGCTGTTTACAGATAAGTAAGGACACTGGAAATGTAATGGAATGGACGTCATCAACGGCAGCTGGAAGTTAGTCAGGTCGATCAGCCGCATCGGACGGACCAGAGGACGAGGTAATGCCATCAACGGCTAGCCATCGTTCTCCTGAATATAAGTTTTGTCATCGTCCTGTCCCTCAACCGTCAAAGCCGCTTCGACGGATCTCAAGCAGCAGTTTAGACTCGAATCGACCGTTGAGAAGTCGACTTGAATGTCGTATATGTACTAATAGAGACTAATCGACCTGCTCAACAGACGTCGGAGGTGGCTCGTTTCTTGACAAGCCGGCCATGTCGTTTCTAGTGCGCTAGGTTTCCATGCTCCTCATATTAGGAGACAAGTTGTTAGTACACCAACTAATCCTCGTTCCCGAGACGTCCCACAGTCTTTCGTGGCGATGCGTCTGACGTTACTATCTAGTCTGTACTCCAAAGTCCACGGAACAGTTTCAATCGTGAAGCTCATATTTTATCCGCCTCCTCGTGTCAACTCCCCAAGTCGTTTCAACTCCTCCCTCCACCCATCCCCCTCCCCCCCCGGCCTTCCCCGACACTTTTTCCCGAAACCAGCCGTATGACGACTTGGTGATGTAAATAGGCGCGTCGGCAAAAGTAAAATTTTCTCTGAAACATCACCGAAGAAAATTTCCCCCTCTTCCCCTCACTCTCCCCCCTCTCCCGTCCCCCTCCCCCTCCTCCGCGCCTCCCCCCCTCTCCCCTCACCCCTCCGCACGCTCCCTCCTGGAACCCCTTAGACGATGAGCGGGAGATCGAGATAGGCGCGCCGACGGGAGTGAGCCACGTGACGCACGTCACCTTCGACCGGTTCCAGGGCTTCCTCGGCCTCCCGGATGATTTCCATGGAGAGCTGCCGGCACGAGCCCCCAGCGCCAGGTAGGGGATTGAGGGAGCTACTCAGGGAGGCACTAGAGGGTCTATTCGGGTCTCTTGGGCTTCCAGGGCTTCCTCGGCCTGCCGGATGACTTCCACGGGGAGCTGCCGGCACAAGCCCCCAGCGCCAGGTAAGGGAGGGATTGTGCGTCAGGTCAGGTGAGCTGCCTCTGACGTTGCTTCTCAAGTCGCTTTCAGGGCTTCCTCGGTCTCTCGGACGACTTGCACGGGGCTCGCACACCCCCAGCGCCAGGGGAATAGAGCAGGACAGCTGCCTCTGAAGTTGCTTTTAGGGTTGCTTGGGCTTCCAGCACGGCTTCCTTGGCCTCCTGGACGATTTCTGCGGGGAAAGTTGGCCCAGTCAACGTGGAAGTTTCCAAGCAGCTGCCTGCTTCTCAATTTTCCGAGGGAAACATGTTTTCCCCCTTCTGGACAACATGTTTCTCCCCTTCCCTCCCCCCTTCCCCCTCCCCTTTCCCCCCTCTCCCCCCAACCTTCTGTCCCCCACCTCCCCCACCCCCCTCCCCCTCCCCACCCCCCAACCCCCGCTGCCTGCCCACGCTGCCGGACTATGTTTGGGGTGCTGGAGACGATATCAGAGTCGACTGAAAAATCAACTTCCCCCTCTCCCATCCCCCCCTCCTCTTCCCCCCTCCCCTCCCCGACTCGTTCAGCTGGAGTGTGTCTGGGTGCGTCTGGAGACGCTGCAATGTTGACACGACTTGGTGCCATAAGAGCTCTTCTCCTCACACCCTTGCATCCCTCCCACCTTCCGCTCTCTTCCATCACTCACAATTCCCCATCACCCCCCCCCCCCCCCCCCCCCCGCCCCCTCTCCCAACCCTCCCCTTTCCCAACATTCTCCCCTTCTTTCTGCGCAGCCGGACCGTGTTTGGGGTGCGACCTGAGACGTTACAGTGTTCACACGACTTGGAGGGCAACCAGGTGCCGGACATCCTGCTGCAGCTGCAGGCGATGCTCTACGGCAAGAACGGGCTGCAGGTGGGTGGTGAGGTGGTGGTGCTGTTGCTGCTGCCTGAAGTGGTAGCTGTGGTGGTGGTGGTGGGTGCTGCCTGGGACACATGTCAAGCAACCAGGTGCCGGACATTCTGCTGCAGCTGCAGGCGATGCTCTACGGCAAGAACGGGCTGCAGGTGGGTGGTGAGGTGGTGGTGCTGTTGCTGCTGCCTGAAGTGGTAGCTGTGGTGGTGGTGGTGGGTGCTGCCTGGGACACATGTCAAGCAACCAGGTGCCGGACATTCTGCTGCAGCTGCAGGCGATGCTCTACGGCAAGAATGGGCTGCAGGTGCGTGCTGCGCCTGGTGGTGATGCCTAGGTTGCATGTGGGTTAGTGAAGCCGGCAAGCACGTGTCAATCTGCTACTCTCTTGATCGCCACCCTGCCTGCCAGCCAACCATCCCACCTGCCAGTGCCAGTTTCGACTGCCAATGCCTTCTTGGGCTCTTTCCCTTGCTGCCTCGCCGCTCACATCACCAAACCCTCCTCTCCCACTCCCATCCCCAACTCTCCTCGCCCATCCCCAACCCTCTTCTCCCCACGCCCTCCCCTGTGGGGAGACAGACGGAGGGCATATTCCGAGTGGCAGCACAGAACGACCATGAGGACTGGATACGAGAACAGGTGGGTCTGTCTCTCTGTGTTTCATGCCAGCTGCTTTGCTGTCGCATCAACCATCAACCCTCAATCAACAACCGCACCGCTTAATCAACAATTAAGAGTGTCACTCTTCTCCTGACTGCCACGTCACCCGTCCTCCCCTCTCCTCACATCCCTCACACACAATCCTCGATTTGGGAGTCACTTTTGAGAATGGTTAAAAGTCACCCATTCTCCCCTCTCTTCACATCCCTCCTACTCAATGCCCGGATTGCTGTCTTGTCCTGCCACGTCGTTCCTTCCGTGTGGTTTCCCATCTCCTTGTGCGTTTCTCTTTCTCCGTGTGGTTGCCTCGCCTCGTCCCATACAGGTCAACCTGGGTCTGGTGCCGCTCAACATCGACGTGCATGCCATCGCAGGCCTCATCAAGGTATCCACCTCCCTCCCTCCCTCCCTCCCCTCCCCTCCCCTCCTCTCCGGGTCCTTTCCCCATCCCCCTCTCTCACTTCCCTCCCCTCTTCCCTGTCATCTCTCCACTCCCTTCTTCTTACCCCTCCCCTCCCCCTCCTCTCACTCCTCTTCTTCCCCTCCACTCTTCTTCCTCATCCCATCTTCCCACTTCCTCTCCCCTTTCTCCCTCTTCTCCCTCCTTTCCCTCCTCTCTCTCTCTCCTCTCTCTTCCCCTCCCCTCCCCTCCGTCCTCTATCGAACCCTCATTCGCATCCCCATCCCCATTGCCCCTTCCCCTCCTACCGGTGTTTCCCACACCGCCCCACCCCCCCAGGCCTGGTTTCGCGAGCTACCAGGGCCTACTGGACCGGCTGAAGCCAGAGAAGGTGGCAGCGGCGGAGAGGGAGGAGCAGATGCTGGCGCTGCTGGCCACACTGCCCGCCCTGCAGGCCTGACGTGTACCCCCCCCACTCCCGCACCCTCCCACACAATGCAGGCGTGGTTTAGGGAGTTACCAGAGGGCCTGTTGGACCGCTTGAAGCCAGAGAAGGTGGCGGCAGCAGAGAGGGAGGAGCAGATGCTGGCGCTGATAGCCACTCTGCCCGCCATGCCTGACTTGTACCCCCACCCCCGCACCCTCCCACACAATGCAGGCGTGGTTTAGGGAGTTACCAGAGGGCTTGCTCGACCAGCTGAAGCCAGAGAGGGTGGCAGCGGCGGAGAGGGAGGAGCAGATGCTGGCGCTGCTGGCCACACTGCCCGCCCTGCAGGCAGGCATGCTCGCCCCGTACCCACTCTCCCGCCCTGCCTGACTTGTACCCCCACCCCCGCACCCTCCCGCGCATAAACCCCCCATCCAGGCATGGTTCCGTGAGCTGCCGGAAGGCTTATTGGACCGCCTTAAGCCAGAGAAAGTAGCGGCGGCGGAGAGGGAGGAGCAGATGCTGGCGCTGATAGCCACTCTGCCCGCCCTGCAGGCCGGCATGCTGGACTGGGTGGTGGGGCTCATGGCGGACGTGGTGCAGCACGAGGCGAGCAACAAGATGAACGCTCATAACATTGCTGTTGTATTCGCTCCAAATATGACCCAGGTGGGTTTACAGATGCTTCAGGTGGGTTTTCAGGTAGCCCAGATAGGCTCAGAAGGCAGCAAGAGTGGGGGGGGATGGGTGGTGGGGAGGAGTTGTGGAAAATACCATCTTTTCTTCTTCTCTCCCCGCTCCCTCTTCTGTCTCCTGCTCCTTCCGTCATCCACTCTCTCCCTCCACGCACTGACCCTCTCATCGGCTTCCAGCACGTCATCAAGCTCATGGACCTGCTCAGAGCGCTGCAGGTGCTGAGAGTGCTGAGAGTGCTGAGAGTGCGGTGCAAACCGCAGTTGAAGCAACATACTTTCCTTTTTCCTCCCCCCTCCCTCCTCCCTCCCTCCTCCCTCCCTCCTCCCCCCTCTCCCCCACTCAGATCGTGGATCCTCTCATCGGCTTCCAGCACGTCATCAAGCTCATGGACCTCCTCAGAGCGCTCACAGTGCTGCGAGTGATGAGAGCGCAGCAGAGGCAACATACCCTTCCTCCTTTCCCCCCCCCTGTCTCCTCTCTCAGATCGTGGATCCTCTAATCGGCTTTCAGCATGTGATCAAGCTCATGGACCTGCTCAGAGCGCTCGTGCAACGGAAGATCAAGCAGCGCCTCGATAACCCCCCTCCACCCGCCGCTCCTCTCCCGGATCAACTAGCACAGAATGGGGCGGAGGAGGCTGAGGGGGAGGGGAAGGAGGAGGGGGGGGAGGAGGAGGGGCAGGTGCAGCACGGTTCAGGCAGCTGTGGTGACTTTTTGGGTAATGGTGTGCATGAAGAGAACAGGCAGCATGAGGAGGAGGAGAGGGAGGGGGAGGAGGTGTCTTCAGATGAGTGCACAACACCACTGGCCGAAAACGACCCCCACACGCCCATTGCCAGACCTCTACTTCCCGAGCCTCTCCTTCCCGAGCCTCTCCTTCCCGACCACCTTCTTCCCGGACCTCTTGCTGAGCCTCCGTTTGGTTCTCCTAGCAGAATGGGAGAGAGGAGAGGCGGAGGAGGAGTGGAGGGAGGTGGGGCGGTGGAAGGAAGAGAGAGAAGAGGGCGACCTAGCAAAGGGAGAGGGGCAGGGCGAGGGGGGAGAGGAGTCGGACGAGGTTCAGAGGGAGCAAGAGCGGCAGAGGGAGTTACAGGAGGGGCAGGAGTTGCAGGGAGTCGGTTACCTGTTCCTGTGTGCAGGAGTGAGGAGGTACGGGGCTCAACGATTATGCTGGACAACAGGCTGGGTTCGAGAACAGGCGATGGGCTAGAACTGGGAGGGGAGAATAGACTGGTTGGTGGCGGTAGCTGGGAGGAGGTGAGCAGAGCAGTGACTACAGGGGAGGAGGCAATAGGAGCTGGCATGAAGGAGTTTCACGGGCGGCACCAGCAGGAACAGCAGCAGAAGCAGCGGCGGCTGATGGGAGATGGACAGGGGGGGACAGGAGGAATGGATGAGGGGAGCAGTGGCAGCGAGGGGGAGGCAGTGGTGTGCCATGGCTGGGACATGATGCCCGGTGTGCAAGGCACTTCGGTTTCGGTTTCCACCAGTGGCGGCGATTCCCCTCACCTAGTGCTGCCCTTGCAGCAGCAGCAGCAGCAGCAGCAGCAGCAGCAACGGCAACGGCACCTGCAGCAGCCGCAGCAGCAGCAGTCGTTTCAGCCGGCGTGGAAGCAGCGCGGTGCAGAGCGGTGCAGCACGTTGAGCATGGAGTGCGGGCTGAGCATGGACGGCAGCAGCAGCATGTTCAGTCCACACGGCGGGGGCGTGCTGAGTCCCTGTGAAAGCATAGACAGCCCGGGGGGGGTCCTCGCCACACCAGTGGGTGTGGGCCCCACAGGGGGGGGATACATGCAGGGGGGAGCTGCAGCTTCTGCTTCTGCTGCTGATGATCCTGCCTTCTTCCTGAGATTTCGCAGCGATGCACGGGAGCAGCAGGGGTTTCCCCCTCAGGCACCTCAGCAGGCGATCCTGCCTGCCGCCCCCCCTGTTGGGGGGACTGTTGGCCTCTACGCACGGGCGCATGCAGCTGCCGCTGCTGCTTCCCCTGCTTCTGCCCCTGCTGCTGCGCTTGGTTTGGTTTCCTCAGCAGCAGGCAGTGCGGCCTCTTCGCCCACTGCACCAAGCCTTGCAGCAAGCCCTGCTGCCTCCTCTCCCACCACCGCCACCACCGCCACCCCCAGTCCAGCAGGCGAGAGGCGGCACGGGGGGCACAAGGGCAGCTTTAAGAGTGACCTGTGGTCGAGGCGAAAGGGGCCTGCAGTGCCCAACTCCCGCCTCTCCCTCCCTGCTGCTGCCTCCCCCTCTGCTGCTGCTGCTTGTGCCAGCGATGGTGCCAGCCCTGCTTGCGCCAATGTTTCTCGCACTGCTAGCAGCGATGCTGCTGCAGCAGCTGCCACTGACAGCGGTGGCCTCACACCCAACACTCCCCTCACACCCACCCCTCCCTCCCGTCCGCTCAAAGACCCCTCCTCCCATTCCGCTCCCCTGCGCTCGCCTCTGCTGGGCCGCAGACGAGGGTACCGAGAGAAGAAGAACTCTCCAGGGCACAAGCAGCAGCAGCAGCAGCAGCAGCAGCAGCAAGCAGTGCTGGCATCAGCATCATCACCAGCAGCAGCTGGGGCGGCAACAGCATCAGGCGCAGGTGATTTGGCCCCTGCAGTGACCCCCCGGTCGCTCCTCTCCCTCACAGCCTCAGCATCGTTGGGGTTTGGTGCTGTTCCTGGCACTCCCCCTTCCGAGTCTCCTCACAACCCGGCAGTCACCCCGCGGTCGTTTCTCTCCCGCCAGTTCCCAGGAGGGTCAGGCTTTGGTGCGGTTCCCGGTACGCCCCCCCCCTCACTCTCCCCGCCTCTTCCCCCTCTCGCCGCGGAATGTCTTCAGAAAACACAAGTCGGAGGGGGGAGCGGAGAGGAGAGACGGGGGAGAGCGGGATGAGGGGCGAGAAGGAGGAGAAGGGAGAGAAGGGAGAGAAGGGAGGGAGGGGCATGAGCATCATTTGCAGCACTCTAGGCTGATGGTGGTGGATGAAAGCTCAGGCAACCACGTGGGGGAATCAGGAGCCATGCCCGGGCCCATTAAAGGGCACATTGGAGGGCACATTGAAGGGGGGGCGTTTCCAGAACCAGGTGGCGTGCTTTCGAGTCGACTCAAAAGCAGGGAATCAGGAGCCATTCCAGGGCACATAGAAGGGGGGGCAATTTTTGAGACGTCTCAAAACTCAGGAGCCATTCCTCCAGGGCACATAGAAGGGGGGGCGTTTCCAGAAGCAGGTGGCGTGGTTGGTCGAGACGGGGAGGGAGGGGCTTGTGCTGTTTCTCAATCTGGTTCTGTTCCCCACGTTGGTTCTGTGTCTCAAGCTGGTTCTGTCCCTCGGTTGCCGACTAGCTGGTCTGACACGCAGTGCGCTTTCGAGAGCTCTCAAGACCACTCTCCCCTGGGGTATGAGATGCAGCAGCAGCAGCAGCAGCAGCAGCAGCAGCAGCAGCAGCAGCAGCAGCAGCAGCAGCAGCAGCAGCAGCAGCAGCAGCAGCAGCAGCAGCAGCAGCAGCAGCAGCAGCAGCAGCAGCAGCAGCAGCAGCAGCAGCAGCAGCAGCAATTGCAGCAGCAGCAGATGCAATGGGGTGACAGCAGCACGGGGAATTCGGGAGAGCAAACGGGTGAAGCGGAGGGAGCAGGAGGAACAGGATGGGCGTCAGTAGGAGCAGCAAAACCAGCACCGGGAGGGGCAACGCCAACAGGAGGGCGGCCAAAGTCGAGTGGGGGGTGGCGAAGGGGGTGGTCTGGGCCTCACGGGGTGGCAGGGGTGGGTAAGGGCATGCACCTGCTCAGCCCACACAGGGGCGATGCACCAAGAAAAGGGCATTGGGATTCCGCTGCCGCTGCCGCTGCCGCTGCCGCCGCTGCTGCCACAGCTGCTGCTGCTGCCGCTACTGCTAGTGTTGGTGCTGGTGCTACTGCTAGTGCTGCTGCTGCTGGTGCTGCTGCTACTGCTAGTGCTGCTGCTGCTGCTGCTGCTGGTGCTGCTAACGAGAATGCCACTGCTGGCAGTGGTGCGAACCCAGGTGGTTCGGCCAGCAGGGGCGGCCGAACGAAGCTAGGAGCAGCAGGGTCGGGGCTAGCAGCAGCGATGAAAACTTCCATGAAAACATCAATGAAGGCCCTGGCCCCTCTAGCTCCCACCAAGACCTGGGCTTCAGGCATGGGCGATATGTTTGGGGCCAAATCCCCCCGTGCTCTCCTCTCCCCGCATTCTCTCCTCTCCCCTCGTGGCTTCCTCTCCCCTGGCGGTTTCCGCTCCCCTCGCCCCTCTGGCCATGGGGAGAGCATGGATCGGGGGAACGGGGGAGATGAGGGGGGTGGCGGGGATGGGAGGGACAGAGGATATGGGGGAAGTAGGGTGGATAGGACTGGCAAGGCGGGTTTTTCAAGAGGGGAAGAGGGGAAGGGAGGGAGAGAGGAGGGAAGAGAGGAGGGAAGAGAGGAGGGAAGAGAGGAGGATGGGGAGGAGTGGCGATTCCCGGCCGAACGGGCGTCTCTCGACTTGCCTGTCAAATCCCCAAGGGCATTTCGGAAACTAACTCGGAGGTCGAGCGGGTTTCAGCTGCCGACGCGGGCAGCAGTAGCAGCAGCCATGACCCTCCCCTCCTCCCTCTCCATGAAAGAACGGCGCTCCGAATCCTCAACACCCGCCATGTTCTCCCTTCCTCCCTCCGCCTCTCTCTCGTCTGCCTCCTCCACTGCCTCTCCTTCCTCTGCAAGGCCCCCGTGGGGCTCTGGGTCCATGCAGGAACGGCCCCAGCACCTGCAGCAGCAGCAGCGCCTGGCGCAGGCTCGGCAGCAGGAGGTTCGGCAACCGGAGGCTCGGCAGTCGGGCCTCGCCCAGGCACCGCAGGAGGGTCGGATGCGGCAGGCTCGGAAGGGGAAGGTGCAGCTGCCTCGGGCTATTTCAGCGGATCAGTATCAGCAGCACGATGGGAGGGAGTTCTTTCAAGAACAGCTATCGCTGCAGCAACAGCACCTTCAGCAGCAGCAGGAACAGCTGCAGCAGCAACAGCAGCAACAGCAGCAGCAGCAGCAGCAAGAACAGGTGCAGCAGCAACAGCAGCAGCAGCAGCAGCAAGAACAGGTGCAGCAGCAACAGCAGGAGAAGCAGCAGCAGTGGGTTCCTCTAGAGAAGGCAAGCAGTGCGAGTGCAGCACTAGCAGCATGGGCCAAGCGGTCAAAGCAAGGGGGGCAGAGGCAGGGGAATGCACGGAGAGAGGCGATCAGTGGTGGTGCTGCTGACGCTGGCAGCGGTGGAGGTGGGTGGCATGGTTTGCCTCGTAGCGTGTCGGTGGATGTAGTGACACAAGGCATGGCCTCCCAGGCAGCACCACTCGGGGCAAGCCCTGGAGCAGGAGGAGGAGGGAGAGGGGGAGGAGGAGGAGGGGGAGCAGGAGGAGCAGGAGGAGGAGCAGGAGGAGGAGCAGGAACAGCAGGAGGAATTGGAGTGGGAAGGGTGAGAAGACATGGAGGGTGGGTTGTGAGTGCGAGTGGCAGTGGAGAGAGAGAGAGGGGGCCAACACAAGGGAGACCTCGGGTGCCCTTAGCAAGGTCCGAGTCAGAGTCGATTCCCCGCTCCTCCAGTTTCAACAGCCATCACCAGCCACCGCTGCCCCAGCAGCAGGTGCAGGGAGCTCAGTTAACTGCTGCGGCGCAGCTGCAGCAGCAGCCGCAGCAGCAACAGGTACAGGGAACGCAACTGTCTGATTACTCGAGGTCAGTTACCCGGTCGTCCAGTTTCAACAGCCACCACCAGCCTCTGCTGCCCCAGCAGCAGGTTCAGGGAATGCAACTATCGGACCACTCAAGGTTGGTTCCTCGGTCGTCCAGTTTCAACAGCCAGCACCAGCCGCTGCAGCCGCAGCCGCTACAGGGATCGCACTCAACAGCAGCGGCACAGGTGCAGCAGGGGCAAGGGCAGGGAGCGCAATCGTCTGACCACTCAAGGTTGGTTCAGCGGTCGTCCAGTTTTAACAGCCATCACCAACCTCTGCCGCCGTATCACCAACCGTCACAACCGCCAACAGCAGCAGGAGCAGCAACAACACCACCGGCATTATCACCTCTGCAAAAGCAGCAGCAGCAGCAGCAGCAACAACACCCAGGTGACAACCTCAGGTCCTGGGGCCATGTCCCAACCGCCACTTCAGGCTCGAGGCCCGGCTCGGGCCAAGGCTCCAGGCCTGGGTCGAGGCCTGGATCCAGGTCCGGTTCCAGGCCTGGGTCATCCCACGGGATTGGGAGAAGTCAGTCTGGTTCGGTTCCGAGCCAAGATGCTTCCTTGGCTGCTGGTGCTGCTGCTACGGCCTTTACTGAAGGATTACCGAGCGAGAGTAGAATGGGGTCTGGTGTAAGATTAGGGGTAGGAGCGGTTGGTTTGCCCAGGAGAAAGAGTACTAGGTAGTAGGGGCATATTTGTAATCTATTGCTGAGGGAATTGGTGTGTTTTGGCTGAAATATGCTGGTGTGGTTGGTTGGGTTGGGTTGCTTAGGATAGAAGTATCTTGCTGCGCAATTGTCTTGCTGGAAAGGTAGTGTAGGCCAAGGTAGTGTAGTGCAATGCTGTATAATATAGAATAGGAATCCTTACTTTCCTGTTGTCGGCATAAGCACCTAATGCATGCCTGGGAAGCAGAGAGCGTGTCATGTCATGTATTGTCCCTTTGATTATGGTACATATCAACTAAGTGCCCAGTATGGCAAATTTCTGACCATTACATTAAAGAATTATATAATATATAATGTTGGAGACAACATGAGCATTATATATAAAGGAGCCCCTCCATTTGGAAGAGGCTTGTAAGGAGATCGGCATGACATTAGACCTGGTAAGAGACAACGCCCACCTTTGGTGCGAGCATAGTGAGAGAGGAGTATGAGCAATTAATTTCCACGAGATTATACCATTGGACACTATACCGGTAGTGTGAATATACCTTCTAACAGTTGGGAGGTTCCAGTGAGGTTGCTGCGGACTTGCGCTTATTGCTTTGGTGAGGGTCACTCGGGCAGGTACAGCACCGTAACAGCAGCACGTCTGTTGCTGCAAGAATGGAAAGAACCAGTTAGTCGATCAACGGTTGCAGATCAGCCTTAGTACGCTTCCAGATCAGGCTTAGTAGATCGACAGCTGCTGCTGCACCCTCCGCCAACACACCACGCCCGCAGAGAGCGCGGTGGTATACCACCAGCAGCACCTGCTCCACCAGCTCCACCAGCAGCACCAGCAGCAACCAAGCTCCACCACCACTCGGCACGGAACTAGACCCTAGGGTTTCTAAGTCGGATTCAAAATGCACTAGCTCGGGTTTAGTATCCAATTGAGTAATCATGATCCTGCTGACGCGACTGATGCGCGGGATGAGCTGTGGCGGGAATGCGGCCACGACCCTGCTGACGTGGCCTCCTCGAACCACACCTCCAGGCGCTGCGCGACCAGCGACACGGGAGAAACCGGGCTCGCGCCTTCGACGTGCGCGCGCCCCCGCGAGTCGCCTGCCAGGCTGAGAGGACGGATAGGCGTGTAGAACCGCGGCGAGACCGCGTGGCATTGAACCCGCGCCGCGTCATCACCCAACGGATTTGCGTTCGAGGCGGAGTCATTATAAGGAGGGGCGCGTCCGGCGGAGTGCGCCTCGTGACGGCCACACCGCGGCGCGCCGGCTGCAGCGGCCACAGGCCGAGAATAGTACTGCTGGTGGCGGCCCGGATCAAGCCCGTAGTGATCATGGCCGTCGGATGACGGCGCTACGCCGCCCGCGCGCGTCGTAATCATCGCAATGCTTCGCCCGGGCGGCCCCTGTAGCTGGAGATACACCTGCTGCGCCTGCGCCTGCGACTGCGACTGGGACTGGGACTGTTGTTGCTGTTCGCGATATCTCATCTCCTGGGCTGTGATGCGAAGCCGCTGCTGCTGCGCGTGGGCCTCGCGGCAGAGATTGGATCGCGGGCAGCTGTACTCGGAGCGCGGGCAGTCAGTAGAAGCGTGCGCAGCTGCGCAAGCGGGATGGGGAGAGCCGTGGTTTCGAAGCGAGGTGGCGGTGGGCAGCGGTCGCGACGATGACGGGGAGGAACTCGGCGGGGAGTAGGGTAGCGGCGAGGAGGGGGCGGAGGGCGAGAAATGGGCGGAGGGGGAGAAATGGGCGGAGGGGGAGAAGTGGGCAGAGGGGGAGAAATGGGCGGAGGGGGAGAAATGGGCGGAGGGGGAGAAATGGGCGGAAGGGGAGAAGTGGGCGGAGGGGGAGAAATGGGCGGAGGGCGAAAATGGGGCGGAAGGGGAGAAAGGGGACAGGGGCGACAAGCGGCGTTTGAACTCGCAGCTTCGGCCAACATGGTGCCTACTTTTGTATCCCATGCAACAGTGTTCCCCCCTGCCCGCGGAAACAGCAGCGTTTGGACGCGCAGCGTCCTTTCCATTTCCTCCCACATCACCGCCGCCCGCAGCCGCGCCGCCAGCTGTAGAAGTACTCCGCGACGCTGCTGCCGCCGGCGGCGAGTAGGGCTGGCCGCGAAAGTCCGACAGCGACTGCAGGATGCGCTGCGTGCGCGGGGAGGGCTGCGCGGGCTTGGGGTAGGCGGGCGGGGACGGGACCTCCGCGCATAACAGACCGCCAGCTCCGGCTTCCCCTCTGAGCGGAAGCGTTTTTGCCCGCCGCATGACCGTCGGGCCTGTCGCGGCGGGTTCCCCCAGGAAAAACGCGACTGCTTTCGCACCGCTGCCGCTGGGCGACGCCTCGCGCGCCGTACTCCGCGGGCTCGTTCGACGCCGCGTAATCATCCTCGGGCCTCCGCCGGGCGCCGCTGCGCGCCGAGTTGGACTCGTCTGACTGTCTCGGAACGAATACTCCGCGCCCGCCACAGCCGCAGCTGCGGATCTTTCCGGGGATAAGTCCGCTCCTATTGCGTCTCGGCGGTATGGCGGCCGCGGGATCCGTTGCGCCCATGGGGAAACGGAGGGCGGGGAAACTTCCGAGGATGGGGAAACAGACTGTGGTGATTCGACTGAGAGCGCTGTTGGTTGTTGAAATTTCTCGAGTGCCAGCTGGACGGATCGGCGACATGTAGTAGTACCGCTAAAAGACCGACTTCCCATGGTTGTTAAGCCTCGTTCCACGCGCCTCGCGTACACCTGCGCCGCGGCTGTCGTCGCCGCCGGCGCCGCCGCCGTCGAAAAGACTCCGCTGTGGCGCAGTTGTGTCGCAACCGCAACCGGCGGGTTCTGCGTTCTTGACGGCGGCTGATGCGGCGGATGGTGCGGCGGCTTATGCGGCGGCGAGCCTCCTAATCTCCTACTAGTACTATTCCTGTACCTGCTGCCATCCGAGTCGGGCCTCGCTATTGTCGCTGATTTGACGAATAGGTGCGGGCGACGATCCCTGGTGGAGCCATCATTGTCGCTGGAAGCGGCTGGAGCGGCTGCGGCGGTTGTGGCGGCGCAGATGCAGCGTCGATCAGAACAGTACTGAGCGCCTCTTCGCGCCGAGACGTTCGCGGCGCGATGGCTTACAGAATCGCTGCTACTGCGGCGAGGGCTGGGCGCGAGGTCGTCGCTTTCCGCCGCGAATGTTTCCAGTTCGACCGGGCGGCGGCGATTTCCGGCGGAGGCCGCGCTGATGCTCCGCGCGACGTCATTCCCGCTATGCGCTGCGGCGACATCCCCAAATTGCGGCGCGTTTTCACAATCCGGCGGCGTATCGTTATGGCAATCCGACGGTGGCATGGCGGCGGGGCTCGAAGGGATCGCAACGCGGAGCTGTAACCGGCGGGGACCGCGGGACTCCGGACCGGCGGCGCGTTTTTGTTCCTGGAGCGGTAAAAGTAGCTTCCGTGGCGCGCGAGAGACTTGCAGAGGCTGGACTTGCGAGTGCTCTAGTGATGGCTTGGCTACAGCCTGAGGTAGCAGTTTTGCCGCGGCTCGGATGGGTAGCGGTGACCCCCGACCGCGCCGCGCGAGCAATGGCGTGCTGCTGCTGTTGCTGCTGCGCGGTGCGACATTATCCGCGCTGCCACTGGTGGTGGCACTAGCACCGCTGTTCGACGTTTCCGATCTGCTTGTGCTGCTATTGCTGCCACAAGAATTGTGAAGAAATTCAAGGGTATTGATGCTGCTGACGCTGCTGCTGCTAGGTGAAGGATTCGTGGTGGTTAGCATGCCGGGCTATGCGCTCGTGGGCTTGCAAGGAGACCGTTGAGAGGGAGGGCTATCTGGGGTGTGTGGCAAAATTCAGAAGAATTGCGCATGTTGCGACTGCAAGCATTCTGCGAGGCTGTCAGCACTTGCTGTGCTGTGCTGTATTTCACAGGCAGTGAGAAAGGGTTTTGAAGCTCCCCCCCACCCACACCAACAAAGTTTCGACAGCCGAGTCGTAAACTCTGCACGATGGTGCTGCCGAGCCGAGCCGAAACAAGCTAGGCTGACGTGAGGGAGTAGTTTTTGGAATCATAGTACGTGTACTGCACGGATTATTAGGAGATTGGATGGAGAGCTCACATCACACATCCATCACATCACATGCAATGCTTTGCATTGGAAGGTGTTTGTGTGTGGTGAGGTGAATCGTGATCAACAAGCTCCGTTTGACGCGACGCGGTAGTGGTGGTGGTGAGGCGAGTCGAATCGGATTGAAGGACAACCCGGACGACCTAGCTGGCAAGCAAGTGGACGACCTGGCTGGCAGCCACGATCTCATCTCGGCTGCAGAGCAGAACGCCCTCACGCTGAGTCAGCGTTGCGTGATCGAAGGACTTTTGCTTGTCCCCAACGGACTTGGTGAGACGTTGAGGTAACGAACGACGATGAGGCAAGTACGGAAATGCCTCGCTGGCGACGAAACGTGCGAAGGAAGGACGAAGGAACTTGCCGTCCCCGCAAGTGTTCGTTGTTGTTACACCTGCCGCCGAGATCTGCGGCGGACGTGCGATGAAAATGGAAAGAAACCAAATCGGATGCGTCGAAATATCGAAGGGGCAGGGAAAATGAAATGTCGAATTGGCACTAGAGCTGAGTTGGAAAGTGAAGCGTGTGGCGTAATCGCCAGCACGTACAAAGCGAGCACTATTCCAGCGTAATTTCTGTTGACTGGTCAGCACAAGTCGCCTCTGATTCTCACACTTGCGTGCGCAGTCAGGATATTATTCTCGTTTTGGGGCACCCGGTCAAAAAAGATTGACTGACGCGCGCCACTCAGCCTGGGTAAAGGCCGGGTAAAAGGGTAAAGGCCGGGTAAAAGCGAAAGGCCGGGAAAAATCGGCGGTGCACTACACTGAGCCGAGTACAAAATCGCTGTACTCTTTGGTCTGCGAGTGACACCTTTTTTTCCCAACCAGATATAAATACTGTTACGTGTGCAATTGAGTGAGAGAACTAAGATTGGATTATCTAAGCAAACAATTCAATCCGCGAAGGCAGAGTGAAGTGTTCATATATAGCGAAAAGCATTTCGGCAACGGTAACGTGCTCGCGAAATGGTACCTTACGGGCCTGATGTCGAGGTTGGGAAGTGTCGAAGCATAGGACCAGGTCGCGGGTTACCAGCCGAGCCGGGTGGTTTGGGCGCGATGGTTCTGTTGGCAGAAACAGAATGAGGCGAGTATCGCGAGGTGGTAACGGGCTAATGGCAGGTGTATAGTGGCAGGAACAGTCGTGTGCGCGGTATGCTATGTGACGCGAAATAAGGAAAAGTTGATTCCTTACACATACTACCTCTCCTACCCCCCCCCCTCTCCTCTCCCCCTCCCCAAGGGGAGGCCCCTTATGAAAGAGCGTGTATAACGCGGAAGTTCCGGCTACGCAGGTACTCGGTGAGGACAAGGTGGTTTTCGATTTTGTACAGGGGGGCCCAGCCGTCCTCGATGGGTGTGCGGTCGTTACAGTGTTGACGGGAAATGGCCCCGCTTTCGCTTGGCCGAAGTCGTGTTCGCAGTCCGGTGCGCTTGATGTGCAACCGGCTGCTGTCAATGGTCGACGCGGACTTGGGCAAGGAAGTCGACAGACTTGGTTGACTTCCGCGAGACCACTGTGAAGCCGCCAACGAGGGGAATTCGGCGGCCGACTTCGACTTGGGCAGTCGACGAAGAGGTTCGCCGACCTGAGGGCGCCGGATAGTGGGCGCCGGGGAAGTTACCTGGTTGAAATTGTGACCTGGTCGACGAAGTTCAACAAGGGTGCGCGGACGTCGCCCAACAGGCTTTGGCGATATCGACCTAGGGGCTAGTATCCCGAGGTCGACATGGTGCATCGGGCGCAACCGACGGCACGTGGCCGACACCTGCGCGATGTGCGGGACGAGGCACGACGTGCTCGACCGTCCACCTGCGTGTGCGCACGTGCGCATATAGTCACCAGCGGTTGCAACGCTGGCAAACCGCCCTGCTGCAGCATTGGCAATCCGCCTTGGTGCAGCGCTAGCAGGTCGCCGACTGGCGGTGTTGGCAAGTTACCCCCCAGCTGCGTTGGCACGCTGTCGACTTGCAGTGCTGGCAAGCCACCCCCGTGATGCGCTGGAGGCCGACCTGCCTGCTAGCTAGGTTGCTAGGGCCAGTGTCAAACTTATATGCTATAGTCTGTGTAGGCTGTAGTGGGGTAGTTCATATAGGGTACAACACTTTTAGGTTTCCTACTTGTACCCACCTGCTTTCTAGTTCAGTCATTTCCTTCATTCTCATTCTGACATGGTATTCTGAGCAGGTTCCCTCGTGGGAACGTTTTTTTTTTAAGGGCCCACCACTGAAACTTTCGTACCTGCCCGAAGCGCGCTGTCGCGCCTGCCTCTCCTGCGCTGTCACGCGCCCTGCCCTGCTGTCGCGCTAGTCGCGACCCTGCCTGAGCCGCCCGTCGCGGCCCTGCCTTGTCGCCGCCCGTCGCGACCTAATCCGCCGCCCGTCGCGGCCCTGCTTTGCCGCCCGTCGCGGCCCTCTCCTGCCGCCCTACGTCGCGGCCCTACCCTGCCGCCCCAAGTCGCGGCCCCTGACCTGCAGCCGCTGTCGCGGCCCTCCCGTCTCCGCCGACGCGCCTGCTGCCACCGTCGCGGCCCCGCTGTCGCGCCCTGCCCTGCAGCCGCCGTCGCGCCTGCAGCACCTGTCGCGGCCCTGCCTTGCCGCTGACGCACCTGCAGCCGCCGTCGCGGCCTCACGGTCGCGGCCTCACCGTCGCGGCCCTGCCCTGCAGCCGCCCCAGTCGCGGCCCTGCTCTACCGCCGCCCAGTCGTGGCCCTGCCCTGCTGCCGCCCCAGTCGCGGCCCTGACCTAATCGCCAGCTGCGGCCCTGCCCTGCACCCGCCCCTGGTAAGCACCCGCGCCGCCCAGTCGAGCCGCGCCTCTCAGCCGAGCCGCGCCGCCCTGCCGAGCCGCGCCGCCCAGCCGAGCCGAGCCGCCCTACCGAGCCGCGCCGCCATCCTAGCCGCGCCGCCCTACTGAGCCGCGCCGCCCTAGTGAGCCGCACTGCCCGGCCCCTGCTGCTACTGCTGCTTCTGCCGCTACTGCTGCTTCTGCTGCTACTGCTGCTTCTGCCGCTATGGCTAGTCCTACTGTTTTTACCTTTGATGCTGAGGGTCGTGCTGTTGACTTCGAGGTTTGGGTGGACGACCTACAGCTCTTTCTCCAGTGCGACTCCAAGGACGGAGTCTCCCTGTTCGATCTTACGTCCGGTGTCTCCCCTGCACCTGCTGACACTGCTGGCAGTACGGTTCGCTCGCAGTGGACCACTCGTGACGCTGTTGCTCGCCTTGCTGTTCGCAGTCACCTGCCGTCTGCTGAGCGCGCGCACTTTGGCCAGTACAAGACTGCTAAGTCTTTGTATGACGCTGTCGTAGTGCGCTACTCCTCCCCTGCCACTGCTGCCCTCAGTCGCCTCATGCTGCCGTACCTGTTCCCTGACCTTGCCGCCTTTGCCACAGTCGCTGACCTCATTACTCACCTCCGCACTAGTGACGCCCGCTACCGCGCTGCGCTGCCCACTGAGTTCTGTGCCAAGACCCCCCCCCCCATGTACATCACCCTCTACTACCTAGTCACCCGTCTCCCTGACTCCCTTTCTTCAGTCAGGGATCACTTTCTCTCCCTTTGCCCCACCGAGCTCACCGTCGACCTGCTAGA